ATGAGCTCGGAGAACATTTCATCGCGAGTGCGTTTTTTTTTCTTTCTAAGCTTCACTAGCCTCTGGGAAGGAGAAGATCCTGTGATCATTGAAACACATGCAGCTGGTGGAGAAAAAAAAGGGACAGTGGTATTTAAAAAGACACATTTTATAAAACAGTGGCTACACTCTTTCAGGGTAATCCTTGCTGTTAACATTACATACATAGCACATGTGCTTTCGTTACAAGGTCGCATTTTGCCTCCCCCCACCGCGTGGCTACCCCCTCAACCTTCCCCCCTCCCTGTGGCTAACAGCGGGGAACATTTCTGTTTAGCCACAGGCAAACAGCCCAGCAGGAATGGGCTCCTCTGAGTGTCCCTGAAGAAAAGCACTCTATTTCAACCAGGTGACCATGAATTATATCTCACTCTCCTGAGGATAACACAGAGAGATAAAGAACACAGAGAAAGGATGTTGTTTGAATGCCAGCAAACATACACTGCAATGCTTTGTTCAACAATGATTCCCGAGTACGTGTTACTGGCCTGGAGTGGTAAAGTGTCCTACCATGAAGGACACAATAAGGCTGCCCTCCCCAGAAACCTTTTGCAAAGGCTTTAGGAGTACATCTAGGAGAACCGCGAATGCCAGGGCAAAGTAATCCTTTCACATGCTTGCTTTTAAACCATGCATAGTATTTTAAAAGGTACACTCACCAGAGGTCCCTTCTCCTCCTGCTGGGTCCAGGAGGCAGCCTTGGGTGGGTTCGGGGGGTACTGGCTCCAGGTCCAGGGTGAGAAACAGTTCCTGGCTGTCGGGAAAACCGGTTTCTCCGCTTGCTTGCTGTGAGCTATCAACAACCTCATCATCATCATCATCTTCTTCGTCCCCAAAACCTGCTTCCATATTGCCTCCATCTCCATTGAAGGAGTCAAACAACACGGCTGGGGTAGCGGTGACTGAACCCCCTAAAATGGCATGCAGCTCATCATAGAAGCGGCATGTTTGGGGCTCTGACCCGGAGCGGCTGTTCACCTCTCTGGTTTTCTGGTAGGCTTGCCTCAGCTCCTTCAGTTTCACGCGGCACTGCTTCGGGTCCCTGTTATGGCCTCTGTCCTTCATGCCCTGGGAGATTTTGACAAAGGTTTTGGCATTTCGAAAACTGGAACGGAGTTCTGATAGCACGGATTCCTCTCCCCAAACAGCGATCAGATCCCGTACCTCCCGTTCGGTCCATGCTGGAGCTCTTTTGCGATTCTGGGACTCCATCATGGTCACCTGTGCTGATGAGCTCTGCATGGTCACCTGCAGCTTGCCACGCTGGCCAAACAGGAAATGAGATTCAAAAGTTCGCGGTTCTTTTCCTGTCTACTTGGCCAGTGCATCTGAGTTGAGAGTGCTGTCCAGAGCGGTCACAATGGAGCACTCTGGGATAGCTCCCGGAGGCCAATACCATCGAATTGTGTCCACAGTACCCCAAATTCGAGCCGGCGAGGTCGATTTAAGCGCTAATCCACTTGTCAGGGGTGGAGTAAGGAAATCGATTTTAAGAGCCCTTTAAGTCGAAATAAAGGGCTTCTCATTGTGTGGACAGGTGCAGGTTTACATCGATTTAACGCTGCTAAATTCGACCTAAAGTCCTAGTGTAGACCAGGGCTAAGACTCTCAGAGAGAGGATTGTTAATCTACAAATAGTTTGGAGTCAGAGCTACTTAATTAAAGCTAAAGCAGTTATAATGTTTAGGGTCTGATTATACTGAATATGTACCTTTCATGTTTACATGGAGATTCCCCCCCATGCTGCATATTATTACTCTGAACAGCATGCTTCACCTTTGAGGCTTTTTTGTTTGTAGAACAACAATGGCATAATTTTTTTAGAATTAAAGTGTGTATGAACTTTCTGCATATTTGTAAAATAGATTTTCTACTAATGCAGTGGTTCTCAAACTTTTTTTTTCTCGGACCACTTGAAAATTGCTGAGGGTCTCGGTGGACCACTTAATGATCTTTCCAAACGTTGTTTGTACCATTAGTTAACTGTTGTAAAGCGCTTTGTATAAAAGCGCTATATAAAAAAATTTAATAATTAACATGTTTTTGTTCTATAAATAAAAGCACACAACTCATATTTTAATATCGATAGTCTTACCTTTGACGTATGATGGATGTGCCTTCTGTCCCCCGATATGGCAGCTCTCAAGCTGGGGCTGGGAAGGAGGGGCGTCTCTCCCTCTCTCCCCCACCGCAGCAGCTCCCAAGCTGGGGCTGGGAAGGAGGGGGGTCTCTCCCCCACCACAGCAGCCACAGAGCTGAGTCTGGGAAGGAGGACCGTCTCTCCTCCGCAGCTGCAGCCCTGGAGCTGGGGAAAGTCACCTCTTTCTCTGGCCACTGTAGCCCTGCACGTCCCAAATTCCGCCCACCCACTCTTCTCACCCCACTGCCACCTCCCACCTACCCTCTTATTCCCCCCAAGGCCTTCACCTCATGTTACATATGCGTCTTCTCCTGGGTCAAGGCACCTAATTAGTGGAGCCACGCCTGCGCTTTCATTCTCTTGTGTGCAGCCACCCAGGCACACATCTTAGAGGGAACTATCTGTGGACCACCTGAGTGGAGCTCACGGACGACGGGTGCTCCACGGACCACAGTTTGTACCTCTGTACTAATGGACGTATTTACATTTTTAACAATAAACTTGATGCTTTGAGAGTGGGTCAGATGAATTACACCTGAAATGTCTTATTTATACATAAGCAACAACAGTCAGTGGTGGGGTCAGAAGAACTAGTAATTTTTCTGTAGTTGGTACAGCCCCTACCCACAAATAGGTCTCAATCCTACTCTGCTTTCCCTACAGTTCAAGTAGGTAGTTTTGGAGTGCTGCTCTCCGACAGTGGTCTTTCCTCTTTGATCACTCTGCCTTAAGTTCATAGGTTGAACTGAGAGCAGTGCTAATGAAATTAATGCTCATCATTCTGTCCCAATAGCTGGGAGAGCACCCCTTGGCTCTGTGCCTCCCCAGAAGCAGCGACATCCTCCTTGCCCAGCTCCTAGGCAGAGGCATGGCCAGGCATCTCTGCATGCTGCCTCTGCCCAGAGCTCTGGCTTTGCAGCTCATATTGGCCAGGAACCGTGGCCAATGGGAGCTACGGGGGCAGTGCCTGCAGGCGGAGGCAGCGTGCAGAGCTGCCTGTCCATGCCTCCGCCTAGGAGCTGAGTGAGGGGGATGTCACTGCTTCCGGGGAGCCCCCCCAGGTAAGTGCCGCTCAGAGCTCGCCTCAACCCATCCCGTGCCTCACCTCCTGCCCTCTCCCACACCCAAACTCTGCTGCTACTGGCTAGGGGCGTGCACAGTGACCCAAGACTGCCCCAGCAGCGGCCGGTGCGACTGGCGCAGGGGCTGCCTGAGCTTTCCGGGGCCAGGCACGCTGGCTGCTACAGAAGTCACGGAAGTTCTGTGACCCCCATGACAAACTCACAGCCTTACTCATGATTGAACTGAGGGATTTCCATGCTTATCTAATCCTTTTTGCTATTTAACATTTATATTGTGATAGTGCTGTGCTAGACATTGTACAAACATATAGCAAATGACAGTCCCTGCCCCAAAGTGTTGACAGTCTAAAAGACATCTTGCGACCCCGGCTGAGATTGCCAGCAATTATAATGATGATTTCTGAAATGTGGACACTTGTCTACTAAGAATGAAGTGAGGTCATAAATACTAAGTTGGTGGTTTAACTCTGCGAAAATGTGAAAACACATTGAAACATCCCTTTGGCTTATATTTAACTTGAATTCTAAACATAGTTGTCAGCCATTTTCATCTGTAAACTTTTTTAAAAGGGTAATTATAGCTGAAGCACTAGTGACAATCATAGTTTAAGATTGCCCAAGGGGTTTCCATTATAACCTGTTTTCTGTCACTCATAAAGTTCTGAAATCTTCATCTATTGGGCTGAAATTTTCCAGACCTGGTCCCTGCCAGAGAGAGTTTTTTTGTTTTTGTTCTTTTTTTAAGAAAGATAGGATAAAAACACCTGAAAGCTATTTTGAGTATGAAAAATGTGTGTGTGTAAAATTTTTCCAGTTTTATACATATTACATAAAAAGTTGCAGTATATATATCTTTTCCCAGTCACGTTGATGACTGAATCTTTAAATTTTAAGACCACAGTCAGTGCTCCGGTTTACACAGAATATTCTGTCATATTTGAAATTAAAGAAAGATAATTTGATTTACTTTTTAATATGATCTTTTAAAAAAATAGGGATTATGATTAGATGCAATGTAGTGATTATACATTGAGTATCTCTTTAGTTGCAGTAGAAAAAATAAAATGGATAGCCAAATTTTAGTAGGCTTCTTAGACTGGAAAGAATTTTAAAAGGAGATCTATGTCAAGAGTGATCAGATGGGATGTTTTTTTCTTTGGTTGTGATTAAAAGAGATTTGCTACTATTTAATCCCAAATCAAGGGACAGAGAAGAAGGATGGTTTTGAAATTAAGGAATTGGACTGAGATTCAGGAGATCTGGTTCCAGTTCTCAGTTCTGCCAAGGGCTTACTATGGGGCCTGTGGCAAGTCACTGAGATTTTCAGAAGCGCTCGGCACCCACAATCAGGGTCAGATTTTCAAGAGAGCTCATCTTTTAGGCATCAAAATAAGTAGTTATTTTTTCCAAATGAGCCTAGCATGTTGAGTCCTGATCTGTTTTGAAACTCTGTACATAAGTGGAAGCTGTTGGGTTCAGAGCATATGTAAAAAATCTGGCTCCGGTTGTCAGACCTGAGCACTTGAACACCTACTTCTTAATCTCTCGGTGCCTCAGTTCTCCCATCTGTAAAATGGAGGTAATAGTTCCCTGTATTGTGGGGTGTTTTGAGATATTACAAATATTAATATTTGTAAGATGCGCCAATACTTTGGTGGTGAGGATGATATCAATTGAAATATCCAGTCTAAACGATTCATAAACATAGTGAGAACATAATATTGTTTTAATAACTACAGGTACTGGGAAGCTGTTCACAAATGGGATGAAGCACTTCAGTTAACTCCAGAAGATGCTGCACTTTATGAAATGAAATCACAGGTAACTCATGAAAATTCTTTGTTAATTTAGAAATCCAAAGTTATATTGTAGTCTTAAACAGATTATGCCTAAAACCCTGTCACCACTTATGAATGTAAAAGGAGAGTGCAACTGCACATGAGCCACTGAATTGAAGAAATATTGCTTGTTATAGGATCAGGGATAGATCCCTTTCTCCTCTTTCAGCATAACAGGGAATCTTCTACAGGTTAGAGTATTTTTACCCTTGCCAAGTGTGCCATAATAACATCTCTGTCCAGGTATGAATTCAACGTCTAAATGTAAATTTTAAATTCAGACATTGAAAAATTATATTTATTATCATTACTCCAGGTAAGTAAAGATCTCCGAATCTGCCATTAATAATCCATATGATCTTACTGAAGAATTAGTTTATTGCCACCTCCTTCCTTTTTTCTCACCCCCCCTTCAAAAAAAGAATATATGGTATATGAAATACATGCCCCATATTTTGGTGTCCACTTACTGGCACAGACAAACTTTGGAGGAAAATGCGTTTAGTCAAATACATTCATTGGTCTCAACCATCCAGGCTCTGTTTCAGGGCTGTTTTGATGGGTTAAGGCTCCAGCAACCACCAACACAGCACTGAAACTTTGATATGTAATGTCCCTTTTCTGTTCAAGCGGCTAGTGAAATTTTGGGGCCATGGGGACTTTCCAGTTAGAAGTAGAAATTTATGGAGTCTGGTATTCTCTTTGATGCAATCTTGTTTATTTACAAGGAAAGTACAAAGCTCCGCTTCTCCAAAGGCAGGAGGAACTACGAACAAAAGGAGCAGTTTCTTAGTTTATAGCTCCAGACCTCTTTAGCCAACAGACCCAAAACTCTCCAGTTTTCCCCAGGGTTATACTGTGCTCACAGGCTACTTCTTGGCTTTCTTGTTTTGTTGCTTCTGCCTCTTGCTTTGTTCTTGTCTCTTCTCAGTTCCTGTGTGTTCAGTCACACACCTGCACCTGTACACACACCTAACTGTAATACCAAGTGACCCCCCCCCCCCCCCCCCGCAACCACACATGGTGCTGGTTTCTGGCAGACTGTATTAGTCCATGTTTTAGGTATGGTCCTTCAATGTCTCATACAACTACCTTAAATAAAGAACATATTCACTCACCATTTTGAACTAGATTGTATCTCAGCCCATAGTAAGGTTTCACCCAGTTAGTAGCAGTATCAGCTGTGTGGACTAAGAAAACTGCTGACCTCACAGTGACTTACTTTTTGTATGGCTTCAGTGGCAAAGTTACTGGACACCATTATTTTATGCATGTCCATGTGCTTGTGTCCCCCTCTTGCCTAAGTAGAAAAATAAGATTCTTCTTCGAGTTATTGCTCATGTGTATTCCACAATAGGTGTGCGTGCTCGCCACGTGCACCGGTGCCGGACGTTTTTCCCCTAGCAGTACCCATAGGGGGGAGCGACCCCTGGAGCGGCGCCTGCCTGGCGCGGTATAAGGGGAGCTGCGCACTCCCCGCATCTTCAGTTCCTTCTTGCCGCCAGTGAAGGTGTCTCGGAACTGCTCTGCTCCAGCTTTGTTATAGCTCGTCCCCAGAACTGTTCATTCATTCAGCGTTAGTACCTGTAGTTATTTAGCTGTTAAGTTAGTTTAGTTAGTCAGTGAGCCCGGGCTGGGGCATGCCCCGCACCCCGGGGTTTAAGTTGTGTGGTTCTTGTAGGCGTTCTATGCCAAGAAGTGACCCGCATGCAGACTGTTTGCGCTGCTCGGGAGAAACCCATATCAGCAAAAGGTGCAAGATTTGCAAGGCCTTTAAGCCTTGGCCCAAAAGAGAAAGTGACATTAGGCTCCGGGCCATCCTCATGGAGTCGGCGCTGACCCCGACCCCAGCAAGCTGCTCCGAATCGGTACCCGGCACCGCGGCGTCAGTACGCAGCAACCCTCCGGTGCCATCGACCAGTCGGCATCGCTGCCCGTCCCCAGGGCATGCCAAGAGGGCCAGAAAGACTCCCTCTTCTCAGCGGCACCGAGGGAAGTCTGGGACAGAGGCTAGGTCCAAGTCGGGCAGTCCTCGATCCCCACCAGGTCCCAGGCCTCTGACTCACGTTGAGCGGAGTAGCCCGGCCCCTTCAGAACAGGCCTCTCCAGATGTCTGGATGCCATCCACGCCTGAAGCCCTCCAGGCAGCCCGGGGCATTATGTCCATGCTGGTGCCCGGAGCACCGCCAGTGTCGGCCCCGCGCTCCAGAGGGAAGCCTCCGCTGGGATCTCCGCAGTCGCCTCTGGCCTGGTACCCATCTCGGTCGAGGAACGTTCCTGATGCCGATCACTGCCCAGCAGTCGCTCGGGGCAGAGTCCAGGTGGATAGCCCTCGACGCTGACCAGACTGTCTGGATGGGTTCCGTCTGGCCGGGACTCACAGCATCGCTTGTCCTCAAGGAACGAGTATCAGCGGGACTGTGGCGGGCATCGCCATCGGTCCTTGTCTTGGAGAGAGTACCACAGTCAATCATGGCACGGTTGTCGACGCCGTTCCTGCTCGGACTCCCGCTCCAAGTCTCCGCCAAGACATCGCAGACCCGGGGATCGATCACCAGCATTTCACCGTTGTAGGTCCGCCTGTCGAGGCCATTCGCGGAGCAGCTGTTACTGCCGGTACCGATCCTCCACGTCGAGATCGCGGTCCCATGGCCATCATAGATCCCGGCACCACCGCTCCTCCCAGTCCAGAGACAGCAGCAGATCTTATGCCAGCCCAATCTCCATTCGTAGCCGTCCTTCAATGGGCCAGGCCAGCCAACCTGAACAGCCGACCCTGCCGGTGCCACAGCAGGTGCAGTGGCACCGAGCGTTGTGGCCAGCCCATGGTAGCAGTGGGCACCGTGGCCTCCGGCGCAGCCCCCGGTGGGAGCTTGCTCGGTGGCCGGAGCTTCGGAGGCACCATCGGCCTCCTTCTCCAGACCCGCGAGAAAGGAGGTGGTGGGACATGTGTCTTCGGCACTGTGCCCGGAGTCCAGCCAGGTGGTGGATCCTCTGGTGCTGGCCTCTTGCTGACAGCAGGAGGAGGCGATTGTGGCCCCGCCCGCCTCCATCCCGCAAGAGGCCCACCAAGAACTCTTAAAGAGGGTGGCAGCAAGCCTCCATCTCCAGGCAGAGGAGATGGAGGAGCCCTCAGACTCCCGGTTTAACGTGTTGTCACCTTCGGTAGGGTGGCTTTGCCTCTCCATGAAGGGGTGGCTAAGATTTCAAATTTCCTGTGGCAAATACCGGCCTCGATGGCCCCCATCTCTAAAAAGGCAGAATGCAAGTACTTTGTACCCACTAAGGGGCATGAGTACTTGTATACCCACCCGGTGCCCAACTCCCTGGTTGTCGAGTCGGTCAAGCACATGGAATGGCAGGGTCAGCCAGCCCTGACCCCAAAGAACAAAGACACTTGGAGACTGGACTCCTTCAGAAGGAAAGTTTATTCATCTTCGAGCTTCCAGTTACAAGTGGCAAACCATCAGGTTCTCCTGGGCCGCTACAAATTCAATCTGTGGGGCTCCCTGCCCAAGTTTGAGGACTCCCTCCAGGAGAGCGATAGGAAAGAGTTCAAGGTGCTAGTTGAGGAAGGGGCAGCGGCCACGAGGGCGTCCCTGCAGCCAGCCTCGGATGCTGCAGACATGGTCGCACAATCAATGGCCTCTGCGGTGTCCATGAGATGGGTGTCATGGTTCCTGCTCTCTGGGCTGTCCAGCGAGGCGCAGTCTTCCATGCGGGATCTCCCGTTTGATGGGAAAGCTCTGTTTTCGGAGGAAACAGATACAAGGCTGCATGGCATGAAAGACTCCCTCACGACCCTCCAGACTCTGGGCCTCTATGTCCCAGCTCCGGCAAAACCTAAGTTCCAGCTGCAGCAGACTCCCGCCCAGGCTGCCCTCCTGAAGTACGAGGCCACCCATAAGAAGCAGCGGGGCTATAAGAGATGCCCTCAAAGGCAGTCTCAGCTTGCCCCCCAGCCTGGGTCCTCCAAGGGCAAGCAGGCGGGGAAAAGGAGTTTTTGATGGGACGCTCGGGGGCACCCCACCAGTCCTCATCAGGGATCCATTCCCAGTAAAACTTCCCTTCTCCAACTGGTTGTGTGCTTTCCTCCTGGAATGGTTACAGCTAACCTCGGACCGATGGGTCCTCAACACCATCTCCCGGGGTTACACCCTCCAGTTTAGTTCTTCACCGCCCCGTCCCCCTTGGGGGACACCTCGCACGAAGCTCTGATCGAGCAGGAGGTGGGGCAGCTCCTAGGTCTAGGAGTGATAGAGGCGGTGCCTGAGGAGTTCATGGGCAAGGGATATTACTCCCGTTATTTCCTTATCCCGAAGGCCAAAGGGGGGCTCAGGCCCATCCTGGACCTCCCAGATCTGAACCAGCACATGGTGAAGCTCAAGTTCCGCATGGTCTCCCTGGCCTCCATCATCCCCTCCCTGGAACCCGGGGACTGGTACGCTGCCCTCAGTCTACAGGACGCGTACTTCCACATCCACATATTCGAGGTGCACAGGCGCTTCCTCCATTTCGTGGTGAGACAGAGTCATTACCAATTCACGGTCCTCCCGTTTGGTCTGTCCAGTACCCCCAGGGTGTTTACAAAATGCATGTCTGTGGTAGCGGCCTACCTCAGATGGCAGGGGGTCCAGATATTTCCCTATCTGGACGATTGGCTTGTCAAGGGCACCTCCCGGTCGCAGGTGAGGGATTACGTGGTGCTCCTCCTGTCCACGGGCATTGCCTTGGGCCTGTTGGTAAACACCAAGTCCACGTTAGTCCCAGTCCAATGCACAGAGTTCATTGGGGCGCTCCTCGACGCAGTGTCGGCCAGGGCCTCTCTCCCGCCAGACAGATTTGAGACCCTGAAAGGTCTCATCGACTAGGTCACGAGGTTACTGGTGACAACAGCCAGGGTTTGCCTACAACTCTTGGGTCACATGTCGGTGTGCACATATGTGGTCCGTTATGCCAGACTCAGGATGAGGCCCCCTCCAG